ACAAGAAGTCTTGTAGCTCCCATGGAGTTGCTTGCATGCCTGAAGTTAAGCCTGGACATAGGAGAGTTGCTCAATTAGGGACTTGCTTGTCCATCCAGGAAGCTAAACTTTTGACCATCTGCTTCTGAATTGTAATGCAAAGTTATGACTTATTTATGATTTTCTTTCCCCCCTCTGTCTGTTTATACTCAGATCAGAGAACCAGCCCAGCAGCCCTGTCAGATTGCCAAAAGCTGTGTGCTACTACTGGATCCTTCACATCATTTATTATGCGGTGTTTACAATAGTGTTTTTAGTGCCTGATTGCCCGTGGAAGTGGTGGAGGCTAATATTGATGTTGTATTTAACATCAACAGTAAGACTTTAATGTCCCTATATGCCAAGTTCTTTTTCATAGTAAAGCAAAATAAAGTAGCTGTGCTAGTTAGGTCAAGGGATGTTGCTAGCTCTCTGTTTTCCCCAAACATACAAAAAACTCAGTGTACAGGCCAAACTGTTCTTTCTTCTGTCTTCATCACCTAACTGACCTTGAGAGCCAGGGTGGGGATCTGTACAGGTATAAATGAGGGCAGGAGTTGGATGGTTTTTCCACATAACTTTCTTTTACTTCAGTATGCAAACTCACTGATACATAAATGCTGTTTCTATTTGTTCAAAGTAAACAGAAAAAGCCAGCATTTTAGTCACAAGGAATCATCGCAAAAGCTCACTTGCAGCATGTTTATGTCTGAAAGGGAGTTATTTTGTACCGCTTCTGGCCGTTTTGACAGAAATAAGTTGCATCCCGGAATTATATTTAGAGGTATGTAGTGGGTTAGAAAAATTGAACTTGAGAGAATAATGACCAAGTATTCTGATCCTGTGGGGAAACATTCAGGTCACCACACTCAGTGAAAGGCAAGAGCATGTGCTGACTACATCTTCCTTTGTGGGTGTTACCCAGTCCTGTGGCTGACAAAGGAGGTATAAGACTTTTACACAGGCAGGTATCGTATGCTGTATGTTATGCAGCACCCAACATATTTTATACCTGAAAAAGGCATGTGAAGCCAACATTTCCCAGGCAACATGCAGGGCCCTGTTCCATCTCTTAAAATAGATGACGGTACCTCTGGAATTGTTTATGTGATATGTTTTGTATTTACGCTGAATACTGTAGACCATTAATATTTTCTTATAAGTTATCGCAACATGGGAAAATGAATGCAAGACTATCTAGAAGAAAAATGCTTAAAGTGTACTTGCAGTATTTATGATCACTTAATGTACTAAGTAAATTTTTTCAGCTTTCTAAATGGCATTTGTTAAAGCACACCTGTGAAATGATTAAAACTGAATTAGTCATTGACCAATGGTAGTATTGAATAGTCAACACAACTGAGCGGTTTGGATGTTGGATAAAATATCTGGCACACTGACTACCTCAGCTGTTTTCCAAAAGCCTACTCAGCCTTTTTCTTGCCTTATTTCTTGTCAGGGATTATCTTAAACAGACTGCAAACTGGTGGACACAAAAGATGACAGAAGACTTAACATCCTCTATCAAAAAATTTTCTTGAATTTTGGTGTTTACTTATTAGGATTAGGAAATACATTATGGGCTATTTATTAAAAAATTAAGTCAATTTATAATGGGCTATTTATTAATAATAATTATTTATTAATTTATTAATCTTTCTAATCTAATCTAATTTCTCTTGGCAGAGAAGAACCACGCAATCTAGCAACACAGAATAATTTGAACAACAGGAAGTATGTGTTAGTTGATATGTATCAACTATCCTCATCCTTTTGGTATAGATAGAACATCTGTCAATGTCCCATTGACAATGGGGCATACTGTACACGATTTTTCTTCTTCTCTCCTCAGACAACAAGAAAATGTTTCTGGAAAAGTTCTTGTAACCTAGACCATGGGTGGGCTGGAGGGGACATTTCTGGCCATGTTTTGGAGCAAGAGATGGAATGTGTGAGCTGGGGAGGTCAAGAGGAATGTGGTGAAATGCATTAGCTGGAGGCCAAGTCCTGAAATACTTTGAGGAGTATGGATCCTTGGAGGGCTCTGTTAATTCTCTGGACTGTAAATAAGAGAGTCTGTAAGAAGTAAAAATGAAACATGACAATGTTTTGGAGGGATTTTAAACTTTAAAGAAAAAGAAGTCTCTTACAGAGTGGTATCTTTGAGGCAGATGATTGTCTCTCTAGTCCAACCTGACTTGCTGCTGTTCAGTAAGACGAAAATACAGGAGTTAAAGGGCAAAACTAGAAGAAAGCTGGCTAGTAATGTAGTATCTCTAAAAAAAAAAACAAAACCAAATCAACACCCTCCCTCCCTCAGCAAACAACCTCTTTACATTTCAAGGTATTCCCCATGGCTCTGTTCTTTCTTTTGATTTTTGTAGCAATTTTTCTCTCTCTGATGAAACACGTTGTAGACATTAAATTAAGGGACAAATATGTCTGTGTCTGCCAGAAAGAAAACTGTGATGCAATTAAAATGCCATTAAGGAACCCCCTCTGGGATGTTAAACCTAAAGACTCTATTCAGAAAGCAAAGCCAAAATTAAAGAGGTGTCTGGTTGCAGATCCTCTGCAGATTTCCATTTCTTGACTATAGTACCATGGAGACTGCACTAGTCAGGAGCTGAAAGGTTTTTCCAGTCATGCGTGTGGTATTTTGAATCATGACTTTGGCAAATGTTCCTTTTCTTTAGGCCATACATAGAATTATGTCTACATTGCACAACATAAAGTGCAACTGAGCGTGACCTTAATGAAGCAGTGACAGCAATGGAGGTGGAAAGCTCTCCATGGCTCATGACAACTAATAATAGTTTTCCCTCAGAAAATTTGCATTAAGGGCATTTGTGTGTTTTGCTGAGATGTCTATGAGATGTTTAGAGAGAGCAGACCAGCTACTTGTAGCCATCAGTCTCAGTATGCTCATTAACAGGTCTCCATTCCTAGACAGACCTCTGGAACTAAATCATTGGTCTTTATATGTTTGGAGACAAAGAGCCTGATCCTCAGAAAATAAAAAGAAGTGTGTTGTCCATTGCAGCTGATCGTTTTTCTAAGGAAACTGAAGAAATAAAAAACAGGGTCACGAGGTGGTAGGTATTGAGTTTTCCAATGAAGGCCCAATCCTGAAAGCCTCATTTTTTTTCCATCTCATTCAGATTGATTTTTTGCTGAGAACATAAGTGACAACTGGAGCAATAATTGAATCACACCTCTCTTTTTTTTTGTCTAGGAATTCTCCTGATGACTGCAGCGTGGCAAAAGGAGGGAAGATGGTTAGCAGCTCAGACAATGTTGGAATGAACTATGGAAGCTACATGGAAGAGAAGCATGTTCCACCCCCAAATATGACTACCAATGAACGAAGAGTTATTGTGCCAGCAGGTTAGACCAACCCTCTACACAAAAATTTCAGGCAGAAAAAAAAAAAGTGTTTCCTCCAGGAAGCCTACTGACTTATTTTTAATACTTTTGGAGAAGAGTGGCAGTGTGGTACAGGCCATCAGGAAAACAAGACAAAACAGTAATTTCCTAGGGTTAATATGAAAACAAGCTGAGAAAATTCATTTTGAAGCCACCTCCTTGACCTGTTCTTCCAATTTCAGAGCAGAATTGTCTGGCTGCAGGGAGTCAGATCCTCTCTGACTGCTTCAGCTGTTTTTGTAGTAGTTCATCTTCATCCAAAGTGAACAAAATGAAGATCCACTTCTATCTCCTAATTCCATGAACTGGCTGAGGGCCGCGTATGGTAGTGAGAAAGGATCAGTTTACCACACCATACGAAGACCAAGTGCAGTCTACCTTGGCATGCTAAAAAGAGAATATCTTCCCTGTAATCAAGGAATGCATGAAATGCTATTTGTCTAAGTTATTTCATGAGTTTGGATAATACATTTTAATAAGCAAACTAAAAAGTCATTGCAATGGAAGAGTACAACTGAGAAATGCTCTTTATGGTGGCAAGCTTGGTTGTAGGATTCATCAGTTAATTGAATAAGATGGCATTCACTCCTGCATGCTTTGTCTTCCTCACAGACCTCTGCTGCAAGATTTACTATCTTCATTTGCAAACTAATTAGCATGTCTATTTCCAAAGCCACAGCATTAGACCATCATGACATATATATGTCTTGATAAACAAGTGGGCATATACAACATAAACACAATACCGTCAAGCTGAGAACTAGAAGGGAATGTTTTGTTGCTAGTTCCTCTTCAGCAGAGATGTGTGTATCTGAAAATTTTCTGCTATTACTGTGTTGCTTAATGTTCTTACAGTTTTTCAGTTGCTAAGATATGCAAGAGCACTAACTGTGGCTAATTTTGCAAGCCATGATTATTTCAGTTATTTGTCAAGATACATGCAGAGAAATATATTGCAGTATCCTCTGCAATTGTATTGGTAGCATTTTTTGAAGCACAGAAAAGTGGTGACCCTAATAATGAAGTGTTCTGCCTAACTGGAAGCAGATTACACTGAACTTAACAGCATTTGAGTGTTTTTCCTAGACAAATGTTTCTATTCTTTCTGGTTGGCACCATTTTCAGCCTTTTAGTAACACACAGTGTTGGTTAGTTCAGCAAGCTTTTTTCTCATCATATTCCTGGTGTGTGTATTTTGAGACAGAGCTGACTGACATTCAAGAAGATGATCATGCTCATAGCCTTGCTATTTTGAGATCTCTAGAAGGGATTCAAAAATGAGCAAAAAACACAGCTAAGAAACAGCTGTTTACTACATAGGCAGTGTGCAGCTGATGTGGCAAAGTTTAAGAACATAAGTAGCAAAATTCATAATTTCCAGCTATAGCAACTTTTTATTTATTGTAAGTAAGAAGAATTTAAAAACTGTTGACATAACCAAATTGTTTTGGTAAACTTTCTGGTATTTGATTGTTTGCTTCAACCCAAAATGAACCTAATTGTGAGTTATCTGCTGTAGGAGTGGGCAATCCAATTGAGGGTTATCAACCAGGCTCGCATCCCCCAGTTCATAGCACATTTCATACCTGATTAAAGGGTTCTATTAAGTGATTTCTGATGTACTAGAGAGAGCAGAGGAGCCTTCTGAAGCACTAGAGGATTAACTGCTCTGATTTTTGAGAGCTCAAATTGCCAAGAAAAGCATCAGAAAGGAGAGGCACTAATGGGTGTAGAATTGGGAGTTAGCAGCAATGTGACACACTCTGATGGACTCTGAGAAGTGTCCAGGCCCATGGAGGAAGGTCCTTATGTCTTTGCAACTGGCGTGAAGAACAGCCAAGGAGAAGGCATTGCATTCAGGTGAAGCCAGAGAAAAGTTTTTAAGACCCTCATTCAAGTCCCAGCCCTTCTACAAACTTCTGGGTGATGGACTACAGTCGTTTGACTCTGTGCTCCATACTCAGTTTTAAAGATGTATTTTGTCTCTCCTTGTCTTTAGTTATTTGTCTGCAAAAAGTAGAAGCTCTTCATGGCAGGAACTTTCTTCCATTATGTGAATATGCATTGCTGGTCCATAGGAGACCTTCAGGTTATTGAGGACTTCCTGTAACTCATAGGAGTAGGGAGAGGTGAAATGGGACAGAAATCAAGAAGGAGGTGTTTAGAACCTAAAAAAAAATATAGTTAAAATCAATTGTTCATGCATGACTCTCAAAAATAGAAGATATTTGAGCTTTTTTTTTTTTCTGAAAATATGGACTGCCTGTTTTGTTTTTCCCCCAAATAGTCTTACCAGAACTTTAAATCAGAGATAGATACTGATGTGAGTGTAGTTGCATACAGCAGAACAACACAGCAGCTTAGGAAAGGAAGTGCAAATATTTTAGTAAGATCCACTCTAGCTATTGAAATAAAAAGCCAAATCTGCATTTGCTTACTTAGCCTATGCACAAGAAAAGCTACTTTTGACTTTAGTATAAATTTCACCTTCATGAAGATAGGAATTCAACAGCAAGTATTTGATCAGCACTCTCCACCCCTCAACTAATTTTATGCTTTATGAAACCACCAGATCCTACGTTATGGAGCACAGACCATGTACGCCAATGGCTGGAGTGGGCAGTGAAGGAATATGGTCTCCCAGACGTGGACATCTTGCTATTCCAGAACATCGATGGGAAGGAGCTGTGTAAAATGACCAAAGATGACTTCCAGAGACTCACTCCAAGTTATAACGCAGATATCCTCCTGTCACACCTACACTACCTCAGAGAGAGTAAGACAATTTGCTGTAATTATGGTAGTGGCTAGACTCAATCTGCGGTTGATATCAATCTTAGATTTTAAGGCATGGATATGCCCCCTGGGTTTTCAAAAGTCTCTGTCACAAATACTACTGGTCCTAAGAACATCGCAGAGCACCTTTTTCAAAGCCTCTTGAGTTTGATGGAAAGATCCTTATTAATTTCCTTTGGCTTTCACTCAGGTTCATTAAAGACATGATTTAAGGAATATTTCTACATGTCCATCTCAGACGAATACCTATTTGAACCCCGTTCCTATGCTGTAGGAAGAAAATCAAATGGGATTCAGTGCTACTGTTTTTTCTGGTCACATACTCATTTCTTTCTGTTTTAAAATGAGAATTCTAAATGAGAATGCAAACATTGATTTATAAAGTGAATTCCAGGCATGATTCTAAGGACTCACAGCAGTTTGCTCTACTGTGAATAGGATCAGGAAGATTTTGCTGAATTAAATAAAAGTTCTGTACTTTCATGGAAAAGAACAGCCCCTAAAGTCTAAAGCCAAAATGTTGTAGTGTCTAGCTAGCATTTCAAAGGGAAGAGGGGGCTAGTGAACTCATGACTTGAGAGTTTTCATCTAAACTTGAGGAAGTTTTACAGGTTTGCCTCAGTTTGAAGAACTTAAAATCATCATGTTTTTTTTTTAAAAAAAAAGAAAACAACAAGCATTGCAACACCAGTGCGGTGTAGTCTTCTCCACACGCACACTGTCCATAATCAGTCAGAAACGTCATGCATTTGTAATGTCGAATAAACAAACACCCTAGTTCAAGCTCTAGCACACACACTACCCTGCAAACTGCAGACTGAAACCAACTGTTGGTAGACTCACACTCAAACAATCCTCTCAGGGGAAAATATGGTTTTAAAAGATAATTCTCATTTTTTTTTCATTTTGGTGTTGCTTTTTGTTTTGTTTTGTAGCTCCTCTTCCACATTTGACTTCAGATGATGTTGATAAGGCCTTACAAAACTCTCCACGGTTAATGCATGCTAGAAACACAGGTAATGCTGGCACTGCTCCCATTGCTATAGGTCATCTTCTAAAAGCACAGGATTCCTGTTTATGAGATGCTTGCTAAAAATAGAAGTGGTAAACCAGGAGGTAGACAAGCATATCCTCTCCTTGCTGTGGATGTGATTTTATTCACAGACACGCAGGAGAAAAAAATAAAAAAAGGTGTGATCACTTAGGGCCAGATGCTGCAAAAGTCTTTCTCCGTTGACAAATTCTGTATCCTAAAAGTGAAGGGGGTTCCTGACAAAGAATAATGTGAGGCTCAAGGCCTTATTCTTGGAGGACTTTTGTCTTGTTCTGTTCAAACCTATAGTCAGATCTACATCATGGATCTCCCTAAAAGTCAGTGGGGCTCATGAGTGCATCAGTGCTTGCCTATGTGCTGTGGGTTGAGCCAAACATGGCCTGAACCCCTTCCTCCCCTGCTCAGTATATTATGTCATATACTTCAGTAAAACTGTTGTTATTAAGACAGCTAGCCCATGTCATTTATCAGCTATGATATGGGGCTTATGCTGTGATCTCGATTAAGTCTGATCTGAATGTAGAACAGCCTTTGCTAATAAACATCCTTCTGTTAAATTGGCTCAGGCAATTATGGAGTGTAGGTAGGAGAACAATACAATATGTGCCTTAAAAGCATCTGTCTTTCAAGATGTAGCTTAAAATATTTATGAAAATAAATCAAAGGAAATTTTGTCTTGCTCTAGCAGTTATGCAACAGAGGATGGCATGGAATTATACATATAAAACAGTATACATATGGATTAAATATGTTTGGAATATTGCATTATCATGCCTGAGGGTGTTAGTTACCTACAGTGACCAGAAATAACAATTATTTATGAGAAGTGAAAAAGATAATACAAAGGATAATGCAAAAGGAAAAAAAAAGAAAAAAGAAAAAAATCCCAAAGTAGAACAAGGTACCTAGCTTCTTGTTTTCATATTTCATGTATTTTTTTTCACTGAGAAATAACAGTGAATTTCCTAGCAAAATTAGCTAGATGAGAAGATTTCTTCCAAAGATTTGATGTTTACAATTTGAGGTAAAGTTCTACTTTGGGCTGTAGACCTGCTGCAAACCCCACCAAAGGCAACAGAAACATTTCCGTTGACTTTGATGGGTTTTGGAATAAGCCTTAAGCCCTTTTTAAAAATAGATGGACTCAGTGGTCTTTTCCAGAACCTAGTTTTCAAAAGAGTTTCCATGCACAGTTATCCAAGAGTTCTTCAGCAGTTCCATGCGTTATCTTTTTCTATAAATGTGTGCACTGATAATGATATTTTGAAATTTATTTCACTGAAATGAGATCATCTGCATTTCTGTTATTGAAAGTGTGGATAATATCATACTGATTTTCAGCATAAGAAACATGAATTGTTCTTTTGTAATAAGAACTGTCAAGTGGGGTTTTTCAAAGAGCCTCAGAAGAGTTAGGAATGTGCTCCTTTTGAAGTCAGAAGCATTTGCACAAGTAATTTCTTGTTATTTTTCCCTATTCCTATAGGTGGTCATTAGAAGTCTGTTAATGTAGTTAGAGTGATTTCAATTTATGAGATAATGAGATACCCCTTTTCTATATCCAGGTTAATCTTTTGAAGTTTTTGTCACTGTCAATAGAATGAGATTTCAGGAGGGTAAGATTGAAAGCCTGAAGTGTGTGAGAGGATTCCCACAGGCATCCATAAGCTTTGGCTGAGCCTCTACAGCCTCTGTTGAAAATGCAACCTATTTGTGAAGTACATAAGCTAATGAAGAGAAAGCAAAAAAGTTTTATTTCAAAAGGCATGAAACCACCTGCCCAGGTGGAGGCAGTGTGTGTGCAGGGAGGGAGGAACGGATTTTCTAACCTTGAAAATCTGAACTTTTTTCTCTCCTCCCTTAACCCTGATTTTGCATAGACATTTACCCAGTAGTATTAATGTATTTACACAGGTGCAGGGATATTGGAATGCATTTGGAAGGCATTTATATATATATATGTATATATATAAAACATTTCTAAGATATGAAGTACTTATTTATAAGCTTCATTCAAATACACTACAAGAGGGAATATGTGGTCACTGGTGGATTTAGGAAAAGCGAAAATGAATCTTCAGGTATTATGTCTCCTTCTTTCTCTGCAGGAGGTGCCACTTTTATTTTTCCAAATACATCGGTTTATCCAGAAGCAACACAAAGAATTACAACCAGGCCAGGTATGAATTACAACCACATTTCATATGCTGTGGTCTTAGTCATTCCATCTCTTGAAACATCTCTTCATTTTTCTCTTTCATCTGTCTTTTCATAAACAGTAGGCTATATGTATTTTGGATACACACACATTTTTAATATATACAAAATATGCATAATTGTGTAGAGTGATGAAATATAGCAGTTAAATGTCTATGTTTGTTCTGCATGTCCCTGTCTTTGAAGCAATGCTATCCAGTCTTAAAAGCATCAGACTGAATGAGAAGACCTGAGCTCTGTATTCTGGCCTGCTGCATAATCCCAATGCAGACACTTTTTAAGGTGCCTCAGTTCCCTATCTGTAAAATGAGGCCAGAATACAGTCTGCTTTTATAAAACTATTTAAAGTCTATTAAGAAAAATTACCCTACTAAATCAGCATAATTATTTCTTCAGCTATTTACTTTTTATTGAGGTAAGCAAGACTTAGATTATCTAATGATGAGACAGGAGGCTAAATAATTTTCAAAAAGCCACAAGAAAATCCTTATTGCTCAAAAGCATGAAGCCTGTGAAAATATTGGTGCACTGGTTTGTGAAAGGCTAAAGGAAGATGAGGACAGAACTACAAAGCTAAAGATTTTCTTTAAATCACTCTTTACTACTAAAGATGTTGAAAAAATGCCTAAACTGGGCTTTTGCCTTTTCAGCAATAAGCATGAGGTAGTCAGATGTCAAGAGGTGTTGGAGCAAACTACTAAATTTAAAAGGAATCCGCTATTGATGCAAAGAGGCACACACCCATGTGTCCTGAAGGACTGAGCTCTTATGAAAAGATCCTTTCACTTAAAAAAAGAAAAAAGAGCTTTATGGGATAATAAATATCTGTATTTGTGAGTGCTCTAGGTTATAATTCAGGAGAGTGACTTCTATGTATTATGCATGTATACACACACACGCATACACACCTGTAGATTTGTTAACTGATAATTAAAAAGATAGCGAGAGAAATACCAGCTTATGACATGATCAAACCTATCCCGTTTAGTTTCTAGGAAAATAATTATAACATTTACTCTTCTGCTAGAATCATCTGTCTGTAACAATGCAGGGATGGATACACAGGAAATGATCTAACCTCTTACCCATTTGGCTTTCACAAGGCATTTGTTAAGGTGCTGTACAACAGTTTACAACAGAAGTTAGTTTAGCATATCATAAGAAACAAAATATTCCAATAGATCAAGAACTGGCTAACTGGCCTGATATCAAGCCATATCGAGTCACGTGTGTTTTCTGATTCTGTACCATGATCCGTAATTAGGACACAGTGAAAATAGGTATAAAACTCAAAGATGACATAAGATTTTGACACTACTCAAAACCCAGGATTCTGTAAAGAAGTGCAGAGGGCTTACCCTGCATAATCGGGAGTATGTTAACAGCTGAAAATATAAGTTGATGAATGCAAGATAAGACACAAGTTATTTGCATACCTTACTGATCTCAAATTAACCCTCTCAATTCATGAAAATAACTAACCATAGCCATCTTTATTTATGGCACAATGGAAGCCTCTGCTCAGTAACCGTCTGAAGTGAGAAAAAGTAAACAAATGAAGATACGTGAACAACAGGGTATCGGGTGGTATCGGAAATCTAATTGTACCACTAAATAAATCAGCAGTGCGGCCTTGTATGGAAGGCTGTGTTAATCATCCCTTTTAAGAAAGGATGTGTGCGGAATTAGAGAGAGCTTGAATCTAGCTGTGGGAATATGAAAAATCTTTCAAGCATGTTGAGAGATAAAAATTCAAAATTGTTCATCTCAGAGAAGACTGGGGGATGAACATGATACAATTATCAAAATAAAGAGTGGCACAGAATACTCGCTTGGCCTGTTTCTCAGTACTAGACAAAAGGATACTCAAAAAAAAAAAAACCAAAATATTTTCATGAAACATATAAGGAGACTGGCATTCCGGTCACAGGCTTGTGGAAACCAGGAGCTTTGAATGATTCAAGTAAATCTGATCAGGCATATGAATACGAAGACTAAACACACTTAGAATAATTGCCGGCTATGCAAAATAAAACAGGATGCCCCAAACTTTCACTAGTTTCTAACTAAAATAAATATATAACAAGACCAGAGGACCTGAGTCCCCTATAGGAGATAATCATCTCTGCTGAGAATGTTTGAGGCAAAAGCTAAAATGAATGTGTTGTAAAAGAATACAATTTCAGGGGTATGTTTCTATTAGGGCTGGACAAAAGTTGCATTTTTTATCCCATGAGAAATTCCATAATCTCAATGTTTGTGATGAGAAAATAAAATACTGGTTTTCTCTGAAGTAAATGGTTCTAAAAAATCCCATACCAGAATCTTTTACAATAGAAAGCTGTCAAAAATCTGTACGGTCAGAATTTTCATTCAGAAGTAAAAAAAAAAAAAGGCAGATTTGTCCTGTCCACACCTGCCGGCAGATTTTTTTTCAAAAATAAAAGGTTTCTATCAATAAATTATTTTTGCTGGATTATTCTTTGGCCTTCCTTTCAGTCAAGATGTGAAATGTCAAATTTCAAGTAGACTGCAAAGAATCTTTTCCATAACAATGTTCCAGTCATCTAAGAGCAATAGCTAGCCCTAGAGACAATCACTTGGTGGCATACCAGAGGTCAAAAGTGTGTGTGTGTTTGTGTGTGTGTGTAGCAGGATAAGTAATGTTAAAGGGCTGTTAACCAAATCCTGGGGTGCAATTTCAGAGAAAGTAATTAAGCATTGCCATTGTTAAGGCACTACAATAGAAAATAGGAAATGAGTGAGACTCTTAAAGAACTGGAATGACAAAGGCGTATTTCTTCAACCACTTTAACAACAGAACATGAGGTTTTTGCAAGCTGAAAGTAATACAATGAAGTTATCAGGAGCTCAGGAAAACCTAATATGGGTTTGTCTACATGTCTCATCAAACAGTAGCATTCCTATCAAAGATCTGCCCAAGATAAGGACATGCTGTACTAATATCTCATGAATAAGAACAGATCTGCTTATCTAGGAGAGCAACATGTTTATCCAGACACAATCCTGAACTAAGAATGAAGCTAGAATCATGCGCTATTTGAAGCAGGGAAGATAACTGATTTTTTTGTTGTTGTTTATGGAGTGGGTGTAGTCAGAATACCATCTTTGATATGCTGAGTTAAAAGGCAAAAATTTTCTCACAGTGCTAAATTTGTACCAAATGGATTTTCGGGCTGCAATTGCTACTAAGTACAAGCCTACAGCACCACATAACCCTATCAGTATGCAGATGCCTAGAATTTAAAGATCCACAAGAAAAGAGAAGATAAAAGTTACATAGCATAAAAACAAGCACATGTCTGCCAAGTGATTCTTTTTCCCTCTTTGTCCCTCTTTGTCTGTAGCCTTTCTGGGCAGAAAATAGAAGAAACAACAAAATGCGCTCCTAATGCCACCAATGCCTCCCATTTGCTTTGCTCACTATGAAGGTAGAGCTATTGCCAGCAAAGCAGGGGTGGCAGGGCATGTGCTTGCCCTCCTGCAAGCTTCAGGGGAACAGCACCTCAAGCAGTTTAGAAGGACAGGAGACTGCTCGAAACTCAGGGCTGAGAAAAGAGGAGTGTCCTGCAATGCAACCGTGACTGAACCCTGTCCCGTGGTGCAGGCAGAACTTGGACACCTCCAGAAATGTGACCAAAGTCCTTCTGAATTTTCTTCCTAGATGATAAAGCCTTCAGGCCAGGGGCCAGTGTGTGTCTAACTACATGAATTAATAGGATGTGTTGATCTCAGTCTGGGCGGGACATCTGCATGTTACAACCATTCATCCAGTAAATCACTGCAGGCAAATATTCTGCTCAGAGATGAGCATTTGAGCAGTTTGTGTTATTTTCTCCAAGTTTCTGAAAGATAAGAGTCTGGAAAAAAGATATATGTTAAAAAGGACACCAGTTGTTTAACTGTGATACTAAGAAAAATATGCTTATCTCAGCAAAAGCAAAGTTTCTGAAGTGTAGAATTCCAGCAGACAACTGTGGTGGTAGTGCCAGTCTGCTCTTCAGATCAAACAGACTAAATAAATTAAAGGCAATTTGGTTGTGCATTTCACATTACAATTTTTTTCCATTCCACACCCCTACTCATAATGTCTGAAAATGGATAGAGATACATGTCATACCCAGAGCCAGTCAGTTACTGGTTCTGTACTTCCTACCTTATTTAATTTCCAAACACTGTTTTCTTAAGTAAAGAAAAAACTGTCATTGACTAGCTCCTGCAATGATTTAATTCTACTTAGGGTGTATCTCTACCCTCCTGAGATCTTAGGGTAGGCTTCGTAAGTCTATCATCTTGGCAGCAATAATAACTAATGTGTTAAAGCCAATCAGAGAAAAGCACAAGCAACCACAAAAGATTTCAAAGGGTAAATGAAATTTTGGATTTTCTTCATAATCTTTACGAAGAAATTTTTATGCTTTATTTTCTACATTTTATATGCTAAAACATTTAAAAGAAATAGAGGTAATGGGTAAATAAACTTTTAAATATGAAAATTAAGGAATTTGTCCCAAGAAGCAGAAAGGCACATTTAAATAGAAGGAACAGGATAAAAAGATCCACTCATGGGGAGAAAGATGGGAAGACAGGAGTAAAAAAGTTGAGGGAAAAGAGCTGAGGAAGATTACACATGCAGATATGAAGAATAAGGAAGACTATAACAAATGTACATGCTGACAGTGAGAGCTGGTGTGAGCACAAATAATTTACAATACCAGTTTAGTGAAATATCCAATAGCCAAACAAGAGAGTGAGAGAAAAATAAAAAGACCATGTCGTGTCATGTATCTCTGCCTGTGAGTTGGTGGGAGAACTCTCAAAACTCTTGATCACAACCGATATACTTTGATTAATGTCAAGGGATGCACCAACAAACTAGGAAAGAATGGCATAATAGGGAAAATAAATGAACTAAAGTCTATCTTCTGAAAATATTAATACATACTGAGACCGGGAAGAAATGTTACATGGTTTATGCTTAATCTGTGCTCCTACCTCCATGGGGATTTTCCCTCCAAAGCAGTAGCATGAAATGTCCACAATGGGCAGTAGGTCTTGTTCCTTGGCATCCTTGGCTGAGGAAGGAAGCCAAAGGGAAAGGGAAGACTTAGTGCTTGGAAATTATGGAAACTCTGTTGTATTTCTAGTGGATACTTTAGATGTCCAAAAAGAGTAGCCACCTTCAAAAAGCAAGGCAGGACATCTAAATGAAGTATAAGATTTAGATAGGGTCCTCTCTGACGTTTTAAAATGAGGTGACAATAAATGACACCAGAGGATGTGGTTGAGAAAGCAGGAGAGGATATACAGAGTACCTGGAGGAGAAAAGGTCGGTAAGGACAATGCAGTACTATTACTTTTAGAAACTGTGACAACATTTTTGACAGGGAGTATTCTTCCACTTTCAATGACACTTTATGCCATATCATGACGCAATTTATTTTTCTTCACAGATTTGCCTTATGAACAAGCCAGGAGATCAGCATGGACAGGTCACAGCCACCCCACTCCCCCGTCAAAAGGTAAAGAGTCCGCCTAGGTCTAGTCTGTGCACCCAGTGCATATCCAGGGTGTGTGGACTGAGCAGAATTGAAAGCAGCTACCTCAAGTTTCAGCTTTGGAATATTTTAATCTGTGCCTGGAAAGCCTTTTTGCTCTGTGCACGCAGTGCTGGGTGGAGTTGCTGGGGGACAGCCACATCCTTCTGAGTGAACTCAGACCCATTCTCATCAGAGACAACTTCATCATATCCATGACCATATAGTCTTATAAAACTAAGTCCTATCATGACCATTACGGGGTGATGAGCATCAGGAGTGTCAGGCCTACAGCCTGTATCAGCTTTGGTAAGCAACTTCCAGGCTGGAAAAATAACTTCATGGATTTTTCTGTTTTCAGCTACTCAGCCATCATCTTCAACAGTGCCCAAAACAGAAGACCAGCGTCCTCAGTTAGGTGGGTTGCTCTTTTTCTTTTTTTTTTTTTAAAGTTATGCCTTCATTGACCATGATCAGTAGGGCAACTATGACCTACCAGCTGGAAGCCCATTGCAAGATCTGATTCAGGTCATGTGTGAAATCTCCAGCTGGGGACCAGGAAATCCCCGGACGTGTATGAGTTGGTTGTATAGCTGGATCCCAGATGGAGGCTCCTGTGGCCATTGAAATTTAATGTTTAATTGCAATGACAACCTCAGAGAGCAATAGCACTACCAAATGAATATCTATGTACAGCTGAGGTTTGCAAAGGTGGAAGTGTGTCAAAGCATCGTACCCCACCATAGCTGAAATACTAGTAACTGAAATATTTGCATGTGCAACAAGACAACAACAGATTACATCCCACCTGTTTGAATTTTACATCTTGAAGAGTATAAGAGGAAGGTTAGAAGGATTGCCAGTGTGCTCAGAAACTGTGAGGAGAAAGTAGAGGTTTATTGGATTGCAGGCTAGTGTTTTTGAAACGTGTGCATTTTCTGGTTTCACAGCAGTTAATCCAGGGGATAGGACCTAACCCTTTATTAGGAAATTATCTCATGTCTTGGGAAAGTAGATAGAAAACATACCAGAGATTCTGAGGTAGTGATGGCTTTTGCTAACAGCAAAAAAAGGTAGATGTTTTTCTGGAAGGAGATTCAAAGGGTAATTTTAGCTCAGAAGATTCTGAGCCTGTTTTTCTCACATAGATTTCAAATCATTATTTGTTTTTTGTTGTTGTTATAGCTAAATAAGACAGTGAACATGACTGCATCTCATTAGCTTGAACTACTTAATGTGCACTGTTTGGGAGGTATTACACTGCTGTTTGCCCAAATAGCATTTCTTCATTTTATCTAATCAGCCCTCCCAACCATGAGAGGCTCTCAAAAATATATTGATGATCTATGTATGTCCTTAGGATCATTTAGGAGCTGTGTGTGAGCTGCACAGATTATTTAAATGCATAAACAATGTAACCAGATTAGTTCCTTAGCTCTAAAACTGGCAGCCGTTTGAGAGCAGCTGGAGAGGAGGCAGCCCATGGACAGGGTTGTTCAGTGGGGGACTCTGGGCCATGCTTGTGCCCCGTTGCTTTGGCTTTTATACATATGTCACAGGCTTTCCTCTTTTGTGTTCAGGCTAAAAACCATGTTCATTTCCAGAGGAAATCCCATGAGAAAAACACTGAGATGCTTTGGGATCTTATGACTGGCACAGCTCTTTTGAAAACCCTAGTTGCAGGGGTAATGCTAGGAATAACGAGACGCCAATTAAAAAAGAGAAAGCAAACAAACAAAAAACAACAACAGCAACAAAAAAGTCTCTCCAGCTCCTGCCATTTGCTTGTCCAGTAGTCCTCCCCTATCCCACCTTCTGCTGATATTTTAGAGTCTTTTGGTAAATGAGGGGCTTATCTGACAGGTAATGAGATAGGGAAGGGCAGAAGGTGAGTAACGCATCCCTCTTCTGTTAAAAGCTTCAGAGAATTTTCACTCATCCCCTTTCCTTGCTTTGAGTTAGTAGTGCTGTGCCAGATGCTCTTCCTTCTTCCCACGTGGGTGTTCATCCTTCAGCATCCTGCAAGGGCTAGGCTAGGCAGGGTGCTCAAGCAACAGATGTCACAACTCTCAGGGCCCTCAACCAGACTCAGCTTGAATCAACATGTGCATGCCCATCAGCTGTGCAAAGACCCTCATAGTATCTTTCTCAAATAATGTTAAATATTAATCTAAAAATGACAAATATGTCTGAAGATATTTAAGTATTTTATGATATTGAAATATTTGATGGTATGATTATATCATTTCAATTCTTTCTTTTAAAAATCTGTAGATCCTTATCAGATTCTTGGACCAACCAGCAGCCGTCTTGCAAATCCAGGTGAGAAGGGGTTTTGCTGATTTGGGAGGATTTTTCTTCTCTGACAGTATCCATGCTCCAGGTTTAATGCCAGACAGTGCAGAGGATGCTACCATTTTCACCACGTACCAGTATGAGCCAGTGGGAGCTGATGATATATTGCAGGATTTTGGTTTTTATACAAGAGTGGGATAGAGCTCACAGATTAAGGCACATAAACTCCTTTATCTATATGCAGGTGTCTACAGATGAACTAGGTGTCTTAGCTCCCATGATGTTCATTGCAGATGCAATTAATATAGCCCTTGACAGAGAACAATTCCTCTCATCTGAGGTATCTACATCTACATACACGCAATCAGTCAAATAACCCATTAGATTCCAGTGACCATATTGATGAGGTTCACTTCACATGCCTAGCACTAAAATGATCTGGATTGGGATATGTTTTTAACATTTGGGTATGGAATTTCTACATGCCATCTTTCCCGTACTTTCACATGTTTTGTGTGTTTATAAATTGGTGGAATTACTCTCTCATTAAAAGGAAATTGACAGTAACCATTTATTTTCATAGGACTATATATTACATTTGGAAGGCAAGTGTTTATGTTAGAACATATGTTGGATTGCTTATTCAAAATTTTGTGTTCTGTCTAGTGCTGAACTGTTTATTGATTTTTCAAAAGCTAATCCTCTTGTTATGTTTTATGTATTAAAACTTGCATGCCTTGCTCATACCATGGATTCTTTTGTTTGTTTGTTTATTTAATGCATGTTAATGGAACAGAAGAAATTCATTAAGAACAATTTGAATAAATACAATTTAAATGAGTAGAGTTTCAGTTGCACTGAAGTATAAACTGTTAATGGATTTCAGATGCTACTCTAGCTTGATATTATAATTCACCCTTTTAAGCTTTCTAAAGAAAAGCTTGTTTATTATACCCACATATCTGTTAAAAAAAAAAAAAAGCCTACTCCTGGTCAGAGATGTACTTAGAAGTTAGCACATACAAGCTGGTTGGCAAATTTTGCTGACATTGTGCTTGTGAAACAGATTGCCTTGCAAGCTGTTTCAGCTGCCTTTTGTATCATTTCAGTGCTGCTTTATTAAGAAATGCTAAGCTTTTTACATGAGTATCAGTGGCAAGGCCCTCTGGATCTACTGTCAATTGCCTAAAATGGTCAAATTTTGTTCCTGTAATGCTGGGCAGAATACTTCTGCAAAGTCGACAGCAGCCTAATTGTTTTCTTTCTAAAATGAAATTGGCAGAACTGGGAGAAAAAAAAAAACAGCAATGGCATTTTAAATCTTAACTCCAGTAGTTATTTAAAGTTTTGCTTGACACAGAACAATGACAAGAATTTATTTTATGGACCTTTTCACTGTTCTTGCAAATGTTTTGCCCTATGGTTGTGTGCAGTGCGACAGCAAGCTAATAAGTTTCCGTTCTACATTTCCCCAAATGCTGCAAAAGGGTGATATGGTTTGGCACGAGTCCAGTTTTCTCTAAACTTCTCCATTTTGTGTAGGCTTATTCCATAGCAGAGAACACTGAGTTGCAACATAATGCTGTGAGAACAAGCAAAGTGTTACGCAAGTGAAAGCTGTTTGTCCTGAACTTTAGAGATTAGTTTCCTAAATGAGCGCTGTATTATTTCCCCATCAATTGTCTACAGTGAGTGACATTAGGTAACTATTAAATCTCTATGTAAGGGCATTCTGCCACTCAAACGGGGAATAAATGACACGTTGCCATTAACTCTGCTCTTCAGGATATCATGAGAAGGGGCTAGGAGAAAAGACACTAGATAGAGAAAGAAGCAGGAACCGATATTGCAACATTTCCTAATAGGGTCCTTTGTGAATGCCTGGAAGAATGGATGTCTTAACTTTATTAGTCACTAGTCCTGACATTTTTATTTCATTTCCCCTGCAGGGAGCGGGCAGATACAGCTATGGCAGTTCCTGCTGGAGCTCCTCTCGGACAGCTCCAACTCCAACTGCATCACCTGGGAGGGCACCAATGGGGAGTTCAAGATGACTGACCCCGACGAAGTGGCTCGTCGCTGGGGGGAACGGAAAAGCAAGCCCAACATGAACTATGACAAACTCAGCCGCGCACTGCGCTACTACTACGATAAAAATATTATGACTAAAGTTCATGGTAAGCGCTACGCCTACAAATTTGATTTCCATGGAATCGCTCAGGCCCTCCAGCCTCACCCTCCGGAATCATCCATGTACAAATACCCATCAGACCTTCCCTACATGAGCTCCTATCACGCACACCCTCAGAAGATGAACTTTGTAGCTCCCCATCCCCCTGCTTTGCCCGTAACCTCGTCCAGCTTTTTCGCTGCCCCTAATCCATACTGGAATTCACCAACTGGAGGCATCTACCCCAACACCAGGCTGCCAGCTGCTCACATGCCTTCTCATCTTGGCACCTACTACTAAGTGGTGGAAAAAAGAATCCCAGAAAAAACAGAGACACTTCTCAGTGGGATGCAGTCCCCAATGAATTGCAATGAACTCTATTGGAGTACACAGCTTAAAAGTGCCTAAAGAGACAAGTGAAGGTTTGGTTGGGAAAAAACATGTTAAAAAAAAAAAAGATGTCAAAAAGACTCTTTGTAGTGTACATTTAAAGGAGATATTCCAGAAGTATAAAGATACTAAAATGTAATGTATATGGGTGTTGACTCTGTGGACCAAACAACAATAGACTATTGTAGGTAAAAGCATGAAATGGTAAGGAAGACCTACAAAAGCTAATGGTCTTAAAAGGTTGATAAGCTTATGTGTAAAGTTTGATATCTTGCTAATGCAAAACTGGGACTATACTACAGCAATATAAGGATAAGTCTATAGTGACCTAACATATGAATCATTACAAAAGAGGGGGGAAAAAGGAAAAAACAAGCAAACAGACAAAAACAAACAAACAAAAAAACAAACAAAAAACTCAACTACCTGTATTTAAAAAATAGAAACATATCAACAAAACCGACTGGTTTAGCACAGAAGCTGATTTGGAATATAAAAGCATTGTTTTGGTTAAAATGAAATACGTTCCACACATTGGAGAGTTATCAGCTACTCAAACTGTGAAGACAATCCAAACTCTAAGATTCCTGACAGTATTATCAGAACCCTGAGCCAAACATTGGAAATGAGAATGTGCTGAAGGGTAAGTGTATGACTGTAGAGCAAAGGCCTGCACCTGATAGACAAAGCAGAAAGGAAAAAGAGGAGGAGGAATGTGGTGAGAATGGGAGGAAAGGAACTTCTCTACCAGTAGAGACTGAAGAGACTGAAAACTTAGCAGTGTTGGGACTATGAAGAGATACTTGTTTGGACTTGTGAAACATTTTGCTCAGTATCATACCATTCCCAGTATTACAGGAGGAACAGACTAGTTTTTATAGCAATAGAAAAAAAATGGAAAAAAGGAAAAACAAAAAAAATCAGAAATCAGAATATGCATCTCTTGGGAAAAAAAAAAAACAAGTGAAACTGGAATTGTGTTTGATATTTAAAAGTTACTGGTGAGAACCTCATCATTATTAAGGGAGTTGTTTTCTGTTGGTTAAGGTAGGAGACAACCCTTGACTGCCAAAAATCAGAAATCAGTATTTTTGTTAGGCGGGCGCCAGTTTTTCTTTATTGAGTCGCGAACGCTGTGCGTTTGTCAGAATGAAGTATACAAGTCAATGTTATTTTTTCCTTTTTATATAATTATTATATAACTTATGCATTTATACACTACGAGTTGATCTCGGCCAACCAAAGACACAAAAAAGGGACAATCAAAAATATTGTGGCCTTGAATTTTAACTCTGTATGCTTAATGTTTACATTATGAACGTATTAGTACTTAGAATGCAGAATGTATGTAATAAAATAAGCTTGGCCTAGCATGGCAATTCAGATTGACACTGTAGTTTGCATTTGCATTTTTAGTACCTAACATGCCTATCAGACCTCCTTCCTACAAAGTTGAAATATGTTAAGCATTTTGTTTTAAAGTTTGTTGTGCTTTGTGAGATCCAGCAACTATGAAAATGTAGGACCAAATAGCACTGCTTAGCATGAGTTTAATGTAAACAGGTGCTGTTTATCTTCTTTTCCATACAGTTCTGTTAAAATACTTGCAACTCCTCTTAACATTGCCTTCCCACTTCTATCCTGACCTTCTTTTGCCCAGAGATTGCAACCATGCCCTATTCTCAGATGACTTCATGGCCAAGAGTGATAATGAGGTCCAATGGAGGCCTCAAAGAAAGAAATGTTGCCCAGAAATATTTTTTTCATTACCTTCAGATTATGCAACACTATTCCAGCCTGAGACATTTTTATACTGAAACATATGTTCAATTACCATGCCCCCTTGCTATTAATACATACTGTATCATTATTAGTAAATAAAATGAGTAATGAATAACTTCCATTATTCCTCACTTTAGAAGAGAGTGTATGGTAGCTTGTTAATTTGTCATTACAATTCATCTTGCATGTTTACAAAGGGCAGAAGGTTTTCTTTCTCTTCTAGATGTAGAAGCTTCCCACACTGCACCGTGGGCCCCCAAACTACATCTGGTGCCTAATGGCACGACTCCGCTTCATTTCCACACCAGCTGAAGAGCTGGTCTGGAGAATTAGCACTGACATTTATGAGTGGCTGTCCGCAGCAGGCAGTGTTTACTGCAGAGACTCCAGACAGCTTGGACCTACAGCTATATCCTCCCTTTTGCTGTTCTTTTGTCTCTTCTCAGACAAAATGGGTGTGGTTTCAAGTTTTATAGAAAATGCTGTGCATGTCTGTTTTGCAGAGCATTAATTGGTGCTGTGCAATGGAAACCTTCTTGCCAGACTTCCACATTATGGGTGTCTTGGTGACCATTTATAAGCACAGGATTTTATTACTGATGTTTGAGACCCAAGAAATGGCATCATCAGCCCTGTGATGGCTTGGAAAAGAAACACTGTAAGTCTGTATCTCTTAAAAAAATAAAAACTTGTGGAAGGGTTACAAAACCTGAGCTTTTGGAAAAGGTTAGTCACTCACTATTTTAGAAAGCTATGCCAGGCATACCTACATGCTGACTATATGAATAAGAGTTTACTTTTCATTGGAAATCCATCTACAGATGCTTGCTGTCCACATCATGTGCACAGTCCAGCTCAAAAAAAAAAAAAGGTATTATGACCTTTTAATTAAACACTTGAAAATCCAGATAAGACAACTATCTTTGTTTAGATTGACAAGAGCATGTCCGGAAGCCTCAAAAATGTTCACAGAGCAGCTCGCAGGATTTCCAGGTGTTATTGGTCAGCTGTTGCCATGTGCGACAGGGGAGATGTCACGGAATGAGAAGAGATGATCCAAGTCCTTGCTGGAACAGAACTGATGCAGACAGGGGTGGTGGAGACCCCTCACAATGAAGATCAAGCACTGGGCTGGTGTCCCAGAGACATGGCAGAGGCAAAACAGGCTCTGGACCCACAGAGATGTCTCTACTACTTGCTGCCTGCTACTCTGACCATCCTTCTGCTGGAGCCAGGAAGAGACATGCGAGGGCAAAGTATCAGGGACTAGTTACCACTTCTGACCCTTTCCCTGTTTTCTGGAGGACAGTCCTGGCACAGCTAGAAGGCATGCTCAGTGAAGCTGCAGAGTCTTTTGAGTCCATACCACAAGAGACATTGACACAAGGCTCAGCTAGACCATGAGACTTCGGCAGAGGAAGCTCCCTGTGCCTTTCAAGCACCTGTATGCACTGAAAACGCAGCCCAGAGTCCACACTTGTACAAGCTGGTGATGCTGATAACCTTGGTCTTCATTTAAATTAGGACTCCTTTTAAAGTCAGTTATCAGTCAAGTCTCATTCTTTATTAAAGCACTCAGAGGATTCAAAGTGGCAACTGTATTTTTCCAGACGTTAGAGATTTTAGTGTGTATATGCTTATGGGTCACCAAGAAACTTGCAGCTCTCTGAGAAGCTACGCATGGAAGGTGATAGTAAGAAAAGATTTGAAAATAATACTAGGAAGCTCAAATCTCAACATTCTTGATGTAGATATTTCCCCCAGCAATAAACCCAGTTTAAGAAAGATAACAAAAATGCTTCTGAACGGCATTTTACAATACTTGCACTGGGATTCTAAGGGGGAAAATTGACACTGAATTTCTTAAAGGCCAGGACAGTACAGCATCAGCTGTGTGACCTTCATTTGAAGAGCTTCCTCCCCTCACTTCATGCATTCAGAAAAGTCCACCCTGAATGCCTCATATGACACACGCTTCATAAGGTCTGCCCACAGAAACACAGGAAACTTCAATGGTTGAGACTTTCTTCTGCACACCCCTGTGCACATTGTTCCACCACCTGCAAAAAGCTCTGCTTACCCTAATCAGCGACTAGTTGGAATAACATCCAGTTTGATTAACACATGTCTGAATTTAACTGCCTCCTGAAGCAACACTAGTACTTCCCTACCTTTTAGTCAGTGGAGGGACTCTTCATGTATCATAGTTGTAGCCTTCAGAGCTAAGATGTCAGCAGACTAAAAGTGTGACTCACTCTTCTCCTTTACTGTTCTCCATTTCTCACCTTATCACATGAATTCAAAAATTCAAAAGTCTGAGTGGTGCTTCTGAAGGAAACACATGAGTCTGCTCAAGAGGCTGCATTGGCTCCCTGGTCATTTCCAGGCTCCAGCTGCAGCCTCCAAAGTGCTTTGGCTCCCGTGGTCCTTAGGCAGTTCAGTTGCGTCTTCAAGGCATTGGTGGTTGAGACTCCGTTACATGTGTGATGTAGCAAGCATATTGCTTGGTGAAGGGAGAAGCTACTTCATCACTGTGTTGTCACTTCAGGCTTCTGACCTGTAAAACTCATGTGTTTTTTTTATTTTCTAAGCTGCTGCTGCCAAGTCAGCAGCAGAAGGAACAAGTGAGTATCTGTGAAATGAGTGTTGACCCACAGACTGGTGAGCTGGTTAATGCGGATATTAGGATAACTGCAATGCGCAAATTGTTTCAAAACTTGATTGCCTGGTTTAAAATGCAAATTTTTCAAGAAAGCAGAGTAAGCCAGGAAGGTTAGTTTTAGTTACTGGCCTGTAAAATGCTTTTATATCAATGGAGCAAGGACTTCACAAAATCATACCCAGAAGATTCCTTAGGCTGCCCACCAGAATCTTGAGCCATAGATATTTTATAGCACACTAAGGGACAGAATAGGTTTCTGTGCAAAGTCCTAAAAGAAACAGTGAGAAAGGCCGCTTGTGTTACACCATCCAGCACCTTCACTGTTACAGAAGTATTTTCTGTAGTATACTCTCTGGCGTTTCCTTAATCATCTGCTGCAAGGTATTTCCACCTATTTCTTCAACACACAAGCTAATGCATCATTTTGTCAAAGAGATTTTTTTTTTCCCTAAATGTTATTTTCCTGCTGTTTTCCTTCTGTAATTTCTTCTGATTATCACATGCCAGAGTTCCTAGCCCATCTCAATGTTTACAGCTTTGCAAATATTTGCAGTTTATTACCATGCTCCCTCTGGCTGGCTATTAGCCAAGTTTAGACATATTTCACTTCACAAACCTATCCCTCTACTTCTCTGATAATTGCTAATGGTCCGATGTCTCCATCTGTCTTCTGATGTCTCCTTCTGTCTTAACCATTTCCATCTATGACTTGTTGGACTGACACTTCCTTCCTAGTGGACTTAATCTGTGACCACAAACCAGCAGCTAAAGAACATGCAGGATCATCTGGTCAAGAGATCTTTCTTGAGCAGCTAAACAGTCCTTCCTCATCTCAGCTTTGCATTGGCTTTCTTTCTCTTCCTTGTGTTTGGTGCAGCTTTTTGCTCATGGACTGAATACCTCTCTTTCTCAGATCTCTC